ACAGTCGTAGTAGTAGTAGAAGCAGAAGAAATCGTAATAGTAGTAGAAGTAGTAGTTGTAGAAGTTGTAGTAGAAATAGTAGTAGTAGTAGTAGTAGTAGTAGTAGTAGTAGTAGTAGTAGTAGTACAACAATTGTGTACTGAATACCCCAACAAGCAGCAAGCAACTCACCGTTCTCCTTTTCAGGGCGCCTCGTTTGGAGAGGCTTGCAAGTGCCCCTGCGGCAGGTGAACTCTCTTTGGGCTCATTGGTGTTGGGAAGAATGCCAGGTGGTCTGAAAAAGTGTTGAATGGTACATAGAGCACACTATTTTCTCGCGGAGGAAGAGGCTAGAAAATTCTGAGTCTCACTTCTTATGCAGCCGACCGCGGCTCGCAGATGGAAGCGCTTGCAGTCATCGAAACTATCAAGCAAACAAACAACAACAACCCCCTCTGCCGTACTTTGCGGACTGCTACAGTAATCTGCTCACACTAAGAGCCAAGAATGTCGTTTCCCTTTTAGACAACCCAAGAAGCAGCTTGCCCGAACGGAGAACTAATCGTTCGAGGTCTGGCGCGCTACACACGGTGGGCATCCCTGCTCTCGGCGAAACCCGATGCTTTCTGGATGGGGTCAGCTGGAAGCGGTGGGTGCCGGTTAAAACTTCTTTTGGAGCAGCCCCGCCCAAGGGTAGAGTGAAACAACTCTGGTGTCTCGTCTGCCATCGTGGGTCGTCTGCTCTGTCTACCTCGGGGAACCACAGAGGACGTGTCTTCGTCGCGTTCCCACCCTCTTCACGGCGGCCAAGGTCTGATACACCAATCTCCCTGCGACGGGCTACGACATACACACATACCTCGGGGCGTCAGAGATCGATTGGGGACACTGCACCTGCCCCTTCGGCAACCCGCGTTAACCATTATCAGGACAGAAAGGGCAGACAAGAGCATTGATTTTTTCGGGCACTGTAACTGTTTTGTACACTGATGCAAGCGAACAGGCGACCAGGGCCGCTAAACATTTGCCCAATTGGCTTTTTAAACAAGAAAAAAAATTTCCACGTTCCTATATTACAAAGCACCTGCTAGAAAGTGGTCACTCTGTTGACCTCAACACATCCTTCCAAGTTCTTGTTCGAGCACGAACAAATCGGACCTTGCGCTATACGGAAGCAGTCTATATACGGAGGGAGAAACCCGACCTATGTAAGCAGTTATACCATGTGCTAAAACTCCAACTGCACTACCTGCACTATTAACTGCAGTCCTACAATTAATCAACCTTTCGTTTTGTTAATTCCCGTCCCTACTTTTAATTCCCAAATTTAAAGGTGGCATTACTATTGACCATTCGCCGCGTTAAACATGACCTTGCTATTATTGATTCTGTGAAAATTCAAAATTCTGTGTTCTCCAATTGTTATCTTAGTCATGCAAAGAGAGGAAGCAGTTGAAAAGCTCTCCCGAAATGTACTTGTACGAATAACTTTTGCTGTTTTTGGTTGCTTTAAATACATAAACATAATTCTTACTCGGGTTCCTTTCGCAAAGGCGGCATAGGCGAAATGGACTGTTGATAGAACAGCGTCAAGAGTTTTTGCCAGGCAACAGCAAGCGAGATTGTAGGCACTTCACTGGTGGGGATGCCCAGAGGATTGAGAATGTAGTTTTCAAGGCTATGCCGGGGAAGTTCCATCGGAGTGTCGTCATCAGAGGTCGGGACTGCAACAAAGGTGCGTGTATGAATCAGCATTTTGTCATACAGTAAGCAAGGATGATGCAGACAGGATTTGTAGTATGCAGTTTGATAGGTCAGGGGGCGGAAAGTAAGTGCAAATGGCGCATACAGCTTAAAGAAACCACGTGCGGCTAGAAGGGTCGCTCAGCAGTTGGGAGGCTTAAGCCTTCGACATTAAAAAGTTGTCGAAGAAAATGGCAACAGCAGTTTACGTAGTGCACCTCATATGTCCCTAGTCCCAGCATTCTGTTTTTCTTACCGAAACAGTGGCTATAGGCGGTTTTGGGGGTGGAGAAATGGGATAAGCAGTGAAGGAAATTTGTAGAAGTAAGTGTAGGGTGGAAAAATGCAGTTGCATTTTCTATGTTTCGGTAACATAGTTATTTTAGGCATTACCGGCAGAAATAAATGGGACTTGCATTATACGTATTTCGACCTCATTAGGTCTCATCAGATGCAGATACCCCTTGAATTATAGCTATTTCGACCTCATTAGGTCTCATCAGATGCAGATACCCAACTCTAGTGTAGCCACGGAAATTGCCACCACACTCGAGATCTGAACCCGTGTCAGTCCGGTCAGGGGCGAACGCCCTAACCCCTGAGCTATCG